ATTGAGAAAACACTAATTCAGTACAACCTAAACTGGAATCTGCTAAGATGAGTTATAACTGATGGTAAAAAAAAAAAAAAAATGTATGGAAAAAATGGTTTAAATAAATTTATGAAGATAGTGAAAATGTAAGGTGTTTAAAGCCTGTGATTATTCATTGTATTATTCTTTACCAGGTACCTTTCAAAAAAAATTCACTCTCTCAAGTGTTTTTGAATCAATAGTGTTAACAGTGAACTTCATTTGCTCTTGTGGATTTAACCATTGTCAGTCCTGTGATTTTTTAACAAAAATAGAAGCTGAAAATCCTGACTTGCCCTACCACAAAGCAGTTTAATGACTTAGCAATGGTAAAGTTTTGATTTTTTGATCTCAGAGCCAAAACTGAAAATTTTCTGAAGAACCGGAATTACCTTGAACCACTATTATTAAACACTGAACAGCTTTGGAAATTAACTTTTCCTGCAGACTTGCTATCGTTTCTTAGTGAATTCAACCTAAAGGCAAAAAGTAAAAGCGAACGAGGCAAAAGAAGCACTTACATGTGAAACTTACACTATGCATTAACAATTAATGTTGTTTGAATAACAATTAACATCGAGCTGCTTTATACACCTTCTGTGCTATCAAAACAAGAACTCCATTCCCACACAAATCCGCAGCAGATATACATACATACACACACACACACACACACACACACACACACATATATACACATTAGCTTAATCTGTAGTTCTAATAGTTGCATGTTGGACTTTCCTCCTTTGGAGGGCCTTGGGTCTTGTCTGTCCCTTGTGCCCCAAGAGAAAGCCATAAACAAAGCTCAAATTTACCCAAGGGAAAAATGCCCTCACAGCAAAAGTGTCCTTGGCTCACTGATGCTCCTAAACTCCATTTTCTTTCACAAATCAGCTGGACAGTTCCTTACTATCTTGTCAGTTCTTTGAAGCTCTTAAGATGATTTACATTTTAACCAGTATCTTTAGTTGTTTTCATTGGAAGAGTTCTTTCCAAAGAAAATGTCCACCAATAACAGAAAAAGAAGTATGAGCGATTACTTTTAAGAAGACCAATTGCCCTTTCTTCAGCATCTAGGCAGCAGCTGATAATAGTTCTATCATGAAAGGAAACAGTTCCTAGCAAAGCACATGAGTAAAGTTTCCAAATAGACACAAACAGACACAAACGGACAGCAAGTTTCCAAATAGACACAGAGCTGTGACATCCCCACACCATAAAATAAACTGGCACAATGTCAGTAAATGGCACAATTGATTAGCATACCAAAAAAAAAAAAAATCAGGTTGCACATCCAGGCCAGCGATGCAAGCCTGTCAAAACCTGGAGGGTGCCAGGAGATGGGGCTGCAGGCCCTAGCCCTTCTGCAGCTGCCGCATATCCAGGCCAGCAATGGAGCCGGCCCAGTGCCTGGGAAACTGAGAGACGGGGGCCGAGACAGCTCCACCCCTGCGCACGACCAGATCCTAGTAGATACTTATTAACCAAGTTTACTTCTTTGGGTGTGTAAGTTATCTGCCCATGTCCTTCAACAAATTTCAGCTTAGATTTTTCTAATTCATTTTTAAGAGTTCTTTTTGCAATAAGGATATTAATCCTTGCGTGTTTAAAAAAAGTAGAGAATAGAATACCAAAGTTTGGGAGGGGTGGGGGTGGGGGGAAGATAAGGGTAAACTAATGGTGACAAAACTATGTTATCTACCCTAAGTGAATCATTGTGCAAGATATGCATGCATTGAAACCACACACTGTAAAACACTAAAATAAATAAAATTGAGAAAAAAAATTAGTAATTATCTGGAAAGAATTAGCTTGGATCCCCACTTCACTCCTTATGCTAAAGGAAACTTTACACAGATTAAACATAAAAAATAAAACCACTAATGTATTAGAAGAATATATTGGAAAAAAATTGTAATTACTTTTAGGGAAGATTTCTTTATGATAAAAAACTCAGAAGTCACAAAAGCAAATATTGATAATTTCAGCTGCATAAAATAAAATAACAACAATAAAAACTTTTGCATGGAAAAAACAACCTAAACAAAGTAAAAAAGCAAGTAACAAACTAGTGAAATTATTTGCAACTTACATCACAAAGAGTTAATATTCATAGCACTGTAAAAAGCTTCTAAAAATAAACAAGAAAAAGATCAACAATCTTACAGAAAAAAATGGCAAGAAATGTAGGCAGTACATACAAAGGATTCTAGAGAACCAACTAGTTATTTTTAAAACTATTAAATGTAGGGGAAGAATTAAGCACTTTTCTGCCTTTCCTTTACAAATTGTATGCAAGATAACCAAATAGTTGATGCGGCTAATTCTAGGTGTTGACTTGATTAGATTAAGGAATACCTAGAATCTCGGTAAAGCAATCTTTCTGGGTGTGTCTGTGAAGGTATTTCCACAAGAGATTAGAATGTGGGCCTGAATGGACAGGTGGGAAAGACCTGCTCTCAATATGGGTGGGCACTATCCAATCTGCTTGGGGTCATCAGAGAACAAAAAATTGAGGAAAAGGTGAATCTCCTATTCACTGGAGCTGGGACACACACTGCTCTCCTGTCCATGGACATCAGATCACGAGACTCTTCAGCTTTCAAGTTCCTTTGGCCTCAGACTGAGGCCACCATCAGCTTCCCTGGTTCTGAGGCTTTCGGACTTGGACTAAGCCATACTACCAGCATCCACTTTGCATATGGCCTATCATGGGACTCCTTAGCCTTCATAATTGGGTAAGCCAATTCCCCTAATAAATTCCCTCTCATAATCTGTATACATATCCTATCAGTTCTGTCTCTCTGGAGAACTCTAATACAGTTGATGAGGGAAAATTCTCTGTACAGAAATATTATAGCTAACAAATGAATAATGAATGATAAAATTAGAATACTACCATTTGAAACTCATAATAAAATAATAGATCTAGGCCATGCATTCTCAACAGGGACAATATTGCCACAAAGGGGATAAAATTGAGTTCTTAGAGGTGAAAAATCTTAAATATTATAATGGTTTGTGTTCCTCTAAAGGGCCACAATACAAAAATAGATACACAGCTGTCTGTGGTATTGAAATTTCACAGAGAGAGGGTGTAGTTATGAAAAAATGTCTAAAAAGTCTCATTATTAAAAAAAAGTTGAGAAACACTGATTTAGACAATAACCAACAATGGCTGCTAATACAAAAAAAGGGAGACTACATATTACATACCATCAAACAGGCATACACATCGCCACCTAGGAAATATCCTTGGTGAAAATTCATAACTGCATCTCATCAAACCTCTTGACTTAACTATCAGTTTAGAGGATACAGGGAGCAGAGAATGTGTTAAAATATACATTATGGGTATGCAATTAGCCAAATCCAGGGTGAAGACTTAGTTTCCTCCACAAATAAACTGTAAGAAGAAAAGGCACTATAGAATAAAAGAGATTTAAAAGACACCTCGACAATTGCAATATACGAATCTTATTTAGATCCTAATTCTAAGAGACCATAAAAATGTTTTATGAGACAATCAGGGGAATTCCTACACTCGCTGGATATTTTATTAAAGGAATGCTGTGTGATAACAGCATTGTGGGGATGTTTAGAGATATCTTTTAAAGATACAAACTGAAATTTTTAAAGATGAAATGTGAAAAAAAAAGACAAATGACAAACCGGAAAAAATACCTCAACATCTATCATTGACCAATGGTTCTTCAACTTTAGTGTATATGGTAGTCACTTAGAAGTTTTACTAAATCACATATTGCTGAATTGCCAGTATTAGGTAATAGAAAAGGCCTGAGAATTTGCATTTCTTACAAGTCCCTAGGTAATGCTGATGCTGCTGGTCTAGGAACCATACTTTGAGAACCACTATCATAGACAAAGGCTAATTTCTTTAATATGTGGACAGATATTATTAGATCCTATTTTAAATCAACTAGAGAAAAAAGACAAATGAACTAATAGAAAATAGGCAAAGAGCTTGAACAGACAGGTCACAGAAAAGGAAATACGAATGTCCTCTAAACATATAAAAACATACTCAATATGCATAAATATGAGAGAAATACATATTTTCAAAACATAAAATATAACTTTTCAGCTTTTGGGGTAATAATTAGTGCTGGCAAGGGTGTGAGAAAACACCAGCTATAAAAACGAATGAAATACTGCCATTTGCAACAACATGGATGGACCTTGAGAGAATTATATTAAGTGAAACAAGTCAGGCACAGAAAGAGAAATACCACATGTTCTCACTTATTGGTGGGAGCTAAAAATAAATAAATAAAATCACACCGAGGGGAGTTTCGGTAATGGGCCACAATAATCAACCTCATTGTATATCGACAAAATAAAATTTAAAAATAAAAAGAACGAGGGGAGTTTCGGTAATGGGCCACAATAATCAACCTCATTGTATATCGACAAAATAAAATTTAAAAATAAAAAAGAAAGAAAAATAAATAAAAAAAAGAAAAAAGGGTGTGAGAAAACAAGCACTGTCACATTGATTGTAAGTGTGTAAACTTGTTGACTCTGTGTAAGGCATTATCTATCAAAATTTAAAACCTATATATCCACTGAACACTGCTAAGAATTTATCATAGGGATATTCATATTTACACATGTACAAAATTACATATATAATTGCAAGCATTGTATTTGTTAAATACATAAAAATGGAAAAACCTAAACTTCCACCAATAATGGATTACTTGAATAAATTACAGTATATCCATGCAGTGAAATATTATATGGCAGTTAAAAAGGTGTAGACAGTGTTGTCTATTCTGATTTGTAACAAAGTCCATATCACATATTTAAAAAATATATATATTTTATTAATAGTGGTTAATTCTATTGATTTCCAAGTATCTATTAATTATGTTCGTTATACCACAAGCTGACAAAATATAAATCTAAGGTTTTTTTTTAAGTTTTCTTTATGTTTATCTCAGAATAATTCCAGCCTATGCAATTACTTTATAATTTGCTTACCTGACTGAATGATCATCACTGCCAGTAACGGCCAAAGGTTTAGTAGGATGGACAGCAAGTGCCCAAAGTTCACCTTCACAGTGTCCTTGCATAATTAGGAAAGGTTTATTTCTTTCATGCACCACAATTTCAAAAATTTCACTGTCCTGTGTTCCAACTAGAATGTGGTCACCTCGCCAACATACACTCCTCACAGACAAACCTAGTAAACAGTGAATTGTATTTAATATCAATGCTGTAATAATATAATGCCAGCCTTCCTAAATCAAAATTAATTTTTGTACCTTTTATACCTTAGATGTGAGATAGAAGAAATATGCAAGTCCTTGATCCACACTCAGATTTTCTTCAATTGTCCATTATTGTTTTCTACATGGAACGATATTTCTCTTTTTTTATATACCTAATTTCTACCCATCCTTCAAGATATACTCTCTTCTTCCTTCTTCCTTGTTAGACAACTCCAGCCATAGTCTGACCATTTCCTCAGCCAAAGTCTTACCACACTTACAATCTGCAGATTTCAATAATTACTCAGGAACTACCTTTATAGAACTGTATTTTTATTATTTTCCTCTTACAATAATTTGACTTTTCACTTGTCTGTATTTCATTTCTTCAATCTGCTCAAAAATCATTAAGAGAAAATTTTACTTTTTCTGCATGCTCTTCAATCCCTTTTGTAATTTTAGGAAAGCTCCTGTTTTTCTCACCTATATAATATGGCCAGTATAAAGATATAGAATGTTCTTGTGAGGACCAAATAAGTATCAAATTATTTTGTAAGCTTTAAAGTATAAGAACGCTCAGCAAAACTAATGAAAGTAGAATAACAGCTAACTCTCACGTGCTAATTATGTGCCATTCTTCTAAACATTTTACATATACAATATTCACTCAGTTAATTCTATGAGATAGTTATTATTATCCTCAATTTACAGGTGAGGCTAAATTACTAGCCCATACCTTATGAGTGAATGGAATATGGTTTAAACACAGACCTGTGTAACTTCCAATCCTACTCTTGTAATACGATACCATACTAGTGAACAATATGTCAATTTTTATAGTGAAAGATCCTATTTTGTTATATCAATTTTTTTAAATCCCCCAAAGAAAAAAATATCTCTCACTTGCTGAAAAATTTGGATGAAGGAAAAACATATCTATACATATTCAAGTAAGCCTGAATGAAAGTTCCCCCAACCCCCAACATATTACAGATTATTTGCTAAATAGTTATATTTAGCATTCTAATAGTAAAATATTTTCAAAACCCAAGGTTACCAAAGTAAGTGCCTGTCCCATTTCTCTGTAGGTCCTATTATAGTAGACATTAGACATATGAAAGAATCTTCATCCTAACAGTGAACCTAAACTCTCTATGGCAAAATTTTTCCTCAACGGAAGGATTTCAATTAAATGTATATAGTGTGATGAGGCAAATGTAAGTTTTACTTATCTTTACACAACATACATTTATGTTTACCGAAATAAAGAGACAATCCTTGGACATTTTAGAGTTTTCCTAGTAATGAGACATTTTATTGTTACCTTTGTATCCCTGGTCTGTTTCCCTGAGATCAATCACAGTAATTGGTTTAAAAGTTAAATCCCAAAGACGAATACAGCCATCTCTACCACCAGTAGCAAAGCCTTCTTCACAAGCATTCATGCTAAAAATTCCCGCCTAGAAGAGGACATAAAATAATTGAACAACATATGCTTTTTAAGAATATGTACTATATGAAGACAGAAACCTATTTAACAATATTTTGATATGAATAAGCAAATACATCAGAATAAAAGAAAATCTAGAAATAAATCCATGGAACTTAATATATAACCAAGATGGTATTTAGTGATATGGAAAAAACATAAAAGAAAATAAAGTTAAATCTTATGCCATAAGTAAAACTGAATTACAGATGGACTTAAAATTCTAAATGGGGCTGGCCAGTTATCTCACTTGGGAGAATGTGGTATTTGTAACAACAAGATCAAGGGTAAACCCCCATATGGCCAACCACGAAAAAAAATAATTTTTTTTCTTTTTTAAAAGATGACCGGTAAGGGGATCTTAACCCTTGACTTGGTGTTGCAAGCACCATGCTCTCCCAAGGGAGCCACGGGCCAGCCCTGAAAAAATAATTTTTTTAATGTAAAGCATCGAAGATCACTAACAGGACATAAAGGAAAAATTTTAAAGTTTTCCATATCAGAAAAAATATAAGCAAAAACAAACATATTTTGGAAATATCTGCAATGTATATGACTGTCAAGAGGTTAATATTCTTAATATACAAATGAATAAAGGAAAGAAAATTCAACAACAAAAAAGCAAAGGATAAGAAAAGCCAATTAATAGAAAAGGAATTCAAGTAATCAATAAATATGTGAAATTTTACAAATAGACAGGAAACAAAATTCAAACAAGGAGTTATGACTTTTCATGCAGAAGATAAGCAAAAATTTGCAATATTGGCAAATTCTGTGCTGATGATTATGAGGAGGAAACTAGTATTTTTATATACCGGTGATGAGAATGTGAACCATCGTAACTTTTGTGGAAAAAAATCTGGTATTTTCGCTCTTCAAGCATTTGCTGTAAAGCAAGTCTTGTTATAAGTGCTGCTTTATTTATTTATTTATTTTTTAAACTTTTTTTTTTTTTTTTTGGTTATGAATATTCATGGGCTACAAAGCAAATTGTCACCACTCGTGTCTAAGATGTGAGGGCCAGATCCATACTGGCAGCATGTCCATTACCACAAATTGTGATTATACCCTGTGTCCCTCACCCAATTATCCCCTCAATTATCCCTGACCTCCCTCCCCATCCCCCTTTCCCCATTTCACTTTGTATCCCTACGTATGTTCTCTCCCTCTGCAAGTCCAACACACCATAAGTGGTGCTTTAATGTATTCAGGACTTTGCTACTTGGAAGATCTTACTGCTAACAACGTGGCGGCTCTGTGCTATCTAGCTCCTTTCATTTTTTAAGGGAGGCCACTTGTTAAAAAGTTCAAATTAAAAAACACTAAAAGTTTTTTTTTTTTTTTTTTAAAAAGATGACCGGTAAGGGGATCTTAACCCTTGACTTGGTGTTGTCAGCACCACGCTCAGCCAGTGAGCGAACCGGCCATTCCTATATGGGATCCGAACCCGTGGCCTTGGTGTTAGCAGCACCACACTCTACTGAGTGAGCCACAGGCCGGCCCAAAAACACTAAAAGTTTTAACAGATTACTTTTTCTGATTTGGTAACTTATTTATATAAAAATCTCATAAAGTATAAAAATTAAATCTCTTTGCCACTCTATAAATCAATGTTATTTTTCTGAAGTTTTTTTTGTAGAACTATACCCAGATTTCCAACTGGTAAGTTAGTCTCCAGAGCACTAGCTTTATGCTACTATGATTGATCTAGAATACTTTTAGGTTGAAATCAAGAAGCTTTTATTCAACACTACTCTGAGAAAGAAACCATGCCAAAGCAATGGTTTTAACAAGATACTAATTATACTAATTTAATAAATATCCATAAATCTAATTGTATAATATTCCTTCATTGAAATCTTGAAAACAAATAGGCAAATTAATTCAGTTAGAATAGCATTTTTCAAGCAACTGAACTTCTTAAAAACAATATGCTACAGTATGCAGTTGTTCTAAGAAGGTTAAGTAGTTAACATCTAAAAGTATACAAAAACTGATTACGTTGCATAATGATGAACTGTTGGGAAAACAGAATAATTTAATCAGGCTCCCCTCCCCTTAGGTCAGGTCCAGGGTGGTGCAGCATTCTTTGTGGGCAGGTTGTGTGTGGGTGGAGTCTATGTGCGTGCGCAGTGCCGCCACCTTGGCTGGAGGTTTACTGCCTCGGGTGGCTGCCACGCATACGGCCATGCTTTCCAACCTATAGCTTCCAAGGACCTGTCTGCCAGTTACCTAGCTTACAGACCAGTGTGTAAGGGGTCTGGTGACCCGGCCTGGCATGTGAAGGGTTTGTGACCCAGTCTGTGAATGGGCATGAGGGGTCTGTGAGCTCTAGACCCAGCCCTAGCTCAACAATTGGCCCAGTTGGTGCAGGATTACAGGCAGGTAAAAGAGCCTGGCAACTGGCATAGTTGTGTAGCTTTACAATTGGTGTCAGGAACAGCATTAAGAGTGCAACAATTGGTGACATCAGCAGGATTCCGACATTAGCCCTAGCTCCACATGACTATACCATTTATCCTGATTTGAACATCACATATTGCTCACATGTATTGGTATTCAATGCTGTACCCCACAGATATGCACAATCAACTATGTTCCAATAAAAAATAAATTAAAAAAAAATTTAAACATACTTACTGTATGGGCTCCTTGTATTGTTCGCATAAGATTGATTCCTTTCCAAACATATATATCCCCACTGAGTGCACCAGAATATGTTAATTCATCCCTTGCACAGGCTAGGCACAATATTGTCTGAAGGTCACCAGTCTTACCAAAAACACCTCGTTTTGGAGTCAGAGCATTTCCACATAAACTCCAGAACTAAAAGGTATATAGTATAATCAAATTACAAAAGAATGCTTATAAAATAATGTAAAACATTTCCAATACTTCGACGCTATATTAGAGCAGCACACTAGAAATTACCTAAAAAATTGCCTTAGGACACAATAGCATTCAATGTTCACATTCTCAACCTAGTGTTGTCGAAAGCTATGTTACAGCAATTAAGTCACTGGTTTCAATTCTTATCTGTAAAGATAAGGGGGTTGAACTAGACTATTTTACAAATATGCTGCTCTTTCCTTAGCTTTCTGGAAAAAAATCTACATAAAAGTTCAGTAAAAAAGTTGGGAATAGGTTAGCAATGAAAATGAAGACAAGACACCATACACTACCAGGAAAAAGGACCAAATCTGATAATCGATCTCTGATGGAAACAGCAAAGATAGAAAAAAAAAAAAAAAAGATTAGTACATTACTCTCATTGATATTTTCCAACCTGAGTAACTCCTTTGCTTGTAAAGCTTAAAAATAAGATAGATGCCCATTTGGAACGATTTATTCATTCTTGGGAGAAGGTAGGGACATCAAACATGAATCCTATGACCAGCATTATTGCTCTATTAATGGATTCAGGTAAATTTTCATAATTTGCAGAGAGAAATTAAAAAAAAAAATATGGGGCAGGGCAGGTAAAAATACATTCAATAGTTATTCACAAAGAAATTAGACCCAGAGAATAAATTCAACTATATAATAAGTAAATTATCATTTAAAATATTTATATTATATACTTATATTTTAAAACCTGAATCCTCAAAAAACCAGAAATTATGATACTTATCCAGTCAAATAGTTAATACTTCAAAATAAATGAAATTTTACAACTTGAAAGCTCATAATTACTGTGTATAGGAATAGCTGGTTCTCTTCCTTTCAGCACCCAATTTAAATCTATGATTTTCATCTAGATCAGTGATTCCCAACATTGGCTTCACATCAGAATCGCCTGGGGAAATTATAAAACAAGATGCCTGGGTCCCCAACTGAGATAAACTGAGACAGAATCTCTGAAGAGTGAAGCGCAGGTATTCAAATGATTTTGATGCTCAGCAAAGGTTAAGAACCATTGTTCTAGAATCCAGATAAGTACTGTGCAAAAGAACTTTCAGTGATGATTAAAATATTCCCTCTATCTCTGTCTATATAAATATACATGCTTTCCAATATAGTAACCACTAGATACACATGGCTCTTGAGCATTTGAAGTATGGCTGCTAATGTGACTAAAGAAATGAATTCTAAATTTTATTTAACTTTAATTTACATTTAAATAGCTACATATAGGCTAGTGGCTACTCTACTGGACAGTGCAGTTCTAGATTATCTCTGGAACTTAGTATCCTCACATGTACTGTCTGCAAAAAGAACTACCATACTATTCATTGTCTCTACCAAATAAAAGGAAATTTGGTCATAATAAAAATAGTTCGCTTAACTTATTTGAGAAGATGAAAATGGAACTTTTCAGGAACTCTGTATTGAGAAGATGAAAATGGAACTTTTCAGGAACTCTGTATTGAGAAGATGAAAATGGAACTTTTCAGGAACTCTGTATTGATAATTAATTTGCCAATCACCTATTAACCACCTAATACAACGGTACTTCAAAATGTTTGTGGAAAAATAGAACAAGATAATATGAATCCTTTCATTAACTTTTTGAAGACCCCTCGTATAGTGTCAATCATCATCTGTACCTTCACAGTGCTCACATCATGTTCCTTAAAGCCTAGCACAGAATCTTTGCTGATAAATATTTGTAGAAAAAAAATAATGACTTAATACAATCCATCTACCAAATCAACACCAGATATCAAAACCAGACTTGCAGCAACAGTTAATGATGCATTGGAGAAAATGTAGACGGAGGCGGGCCTATCAAAAGAAAGAATGTGAACACAGAACCTTACTAGGAATTAACTGTTATCAGAAACTGTCATATCAGATAGTAAGAAGAAAAGCAAGTATTTCCAGTTTGCACCAGTGATTTAAAAGCAACTATAAACATAAGAATGAATATCACCACTGACTCTGTGGGCTTCAAAACCTGAACTATAATTATAAAACAAAACCCAGAGCTTTCATAAGCACAGTAAATAACGGCTATCAAGGCTGAGGTCAAATCAGAGAGAACATATAAAAAAAGGCAAAGATAATGCTTCCAGAAAGCTGACCATGTGCTAGGCACTACGTCAAGCTTTTGAACATATACTGCCTTATTTAACCACCAACTCTTTGAGGATAAAAGCAGTCACGGTTTTAAGATGTGAGAAAAGCTCAAAGAAGTTAAATGACTCATCCCAGGTTAAACAGCTAATAAGTGGCAAAGTCAACTCTATCCATGTTGCTTCCATCACACCATTCTACCTCCGTGAATGAAAAATTCTTAGTTTATTTGGTTTCTTATTCTCACATTTTACTTTGTAAGTGAAATATGAAGAAACAATATAAAGACAGTAAATCTTACCTCACTAGACTATAAATTCCTTTATGGAGAGTGGTTTATTAATTCCGTATTCATATCTATATCCCTCACAATGTCTTGAAGTAACCACACAGTAAGTATTTGTTAGATTGAACATAAGGACATTAAAAACATTGACACTTTAAAAATAAGTACTGTCAAAATTCTAAAACTAACCTGAATTGTTTTTGGGTTTTGTTTCTTTTTTATTTTACCCTAAATTGTTAAAAGTGTTATATGTACTTAGCAGCAAAAAACTAAACATGACTATTATAAAACAAGACTTTTCTAGTACCTTGATATGTTTTACACCACAGCTGACAAGCTTATTCGGCTGGTACAAATCCCAAGAAATATCAAATATCTGTAAACAAATCAGATTCATGGTTAAAATACTTATTTCCAGAATCATAAGAATCCTGTCCAAAAGACGAAATGGCCCAAGCCCCTACCTATCGTAAAATAATATCCCTCAATAAATAATAATCAGAATGCCACACTTCAAACTCTTATGTAAAGTAAATATTAAAATGATAAGAAATAAAAACTATTTCTTAGTTTTTATGAACTATATGAAACAAGTAGTGAAGTAAAATTTAACACCTCTATTTACCTGTAATTTTTTTTTTTAAATTTGGTCAATAAATAAGAATGGTTCAACAGAACTAGGGCACGAGGCAAGTATCTGTATACTTTCTACAAAGGAGAGATTCTGAATGGAACATACACTTAACAATCACACAGCTAGAAATAGGAACATCTTTATAACTTTCTATCACACAGAACTACTTATGTAAAGTAACCAAATATTTATTTACAGTTCTTACTGTTTATGAGTCAAACAAAATTAATTTATACTTAAATTTTAGGGGTCCTCCGGCTTTGTTCTTTTCTAAGATCTCATAAATTCTAAATACATACAAACCATTTTGTTACAAAAGCAAAGATGCAAAACCCCAGGTGAAATAAAATATGCATTAGAATCATATAATTAAAAAACAAATGAAAGAAAGTCTAACATTTGAAAAATAATTCATTTATTCTGCTATCTGGTAGTCTTTGCCATGTTTCTTTGACACTTGTATAATCTAACCTATTTTCTACGTCTAAAAATTTACCAAGTGATACTCTTCAGTGATAATAAAGAATAAGTCTTGGGCTGACCCCATGGCACACTCGGGAGAGTGCGGCGCTGGGAGCGAAGGAACACTCCCGCCGCGGTTCGGATCCTATATAAGGATGGCCAGTGCGCTCACTGGCTGAGCGCGGTGCAGCCGGTCACGAAAAAGAAAAAAAAAAAAAAAAAAAAAAAAAGTCTTATAAG